CTTTTGGCTGCCCATTTGGATAAAAGAGCAAAATGAAGATTGCAATATCGAAGCAAATTCAAGCGGAAGATGGGGAATTCATATAGAGTGGTGTTAGGAGAATAACGAATGGATGCATGAGCGCCACTGTTTGCGACACCCAGTCATATCACTTATTGTCCCCGCTTTTGTACCTATATTTTTTCGTCCACCCATGGTTATTGTGGCGCCGTATCTGTAAAGATTGGTGTTATATATATATGTATATATATATATATATATATATATATATATACTCATGTACTACTCATTCTAAAATGTATCTACAAAATGAGAATCATGTCGCAAGAATGTGATCCATACCTGTAGTTAGTGTTGGTTTCCTCGTAGATACTCTTAATGTGTAGGTAGAATACTAAAAAATCCACCTGTAAAACTACCTCAGTGTCTTCTAACCCCAACGTTGCTGCCTAGGTCGAATAAATTCAGCTACAAAGCGAATAGATTTTTTCCCTTTATCTGGTAGGCAACCAAACCTTACAGATTACTTCACTCTCATATTCTATCCACAGATTAGTTGCTCACTACCACAAAACTGTTTCGTATCCATCCATGCCGGATCGACTGAACCGTTCCTCCAGCACATTCAATCCCTCAATGCACAGTGTCTATCCTACCGTGAATTCGGTCGATTGGCGCAGAAAATTAGGTCGAAGCCGTTGGGATCTGTTCAAACCGTGGCGTACGCACACATGGAGTCAGAATCTGAACGGGACCTATCCGGATTTGCCACGTCAGGCCGTATTACACGGATCGACGGTGAGCACCGGTCAAAAATCACCCGAGACCATGGTCGTCCGTCGTGGCTCTATCCCATTCTGGCCTATGCCCATGCATCCGAACGGGCATTCCTCGTTCAGTCTGGTTCCTGGCGCACCGGGTTCACAACCATTTGACTCGCCTCAACCGATTTTCAACGGATCCTCATCCCCTTGGCTACGGACCACTTCAACCACACATCTCACACAACAACCCGCAGCCTATATGAATTCATCTGGAGAGGTTTCCAGTCCGATGGATGGATACCCGTTCAATCATCCGTGGTGGCAACCATGGAGACGCAGTTTGAAAAAACAACGCCGTTTGTATATGCATTTACAGCGACGTCGTGAAGCTCAGTACCAATCACAACGACGACTTATGGAATCGAGTGCGATGTCCAACGGCTCCTCCAGTCAAATAGCTCTCACTCCGTCCAGCATCGGGATGGTCAATTCCAGCAGTCGTGATTCGAACAGTTTGATTGATCAGAGAAATATGATGATGGTGGTCCCAAACCCAGACCGACCACTGAGTCAACGTACCACCGGTAGCAGTCGCACATTCACAACAAGTGATGGTGGTACAGTTACCCCAGGAGCTGTGGAGACCGCAATCCAATCCAACCAGGCAAACGACCAGACCAGGAATGCACCTCGCTTTGGGTACACCAATTGGGATCTGGCTGATAATGCACAACCCCACTGTGCATCCGCCCAACCGTATCAGGAAATTCAACCTCAAATGGAACGTCCACCGTCTGTGGCTGGTGACACACTACCATGGAAGTCAACTCCGACCACATCTTCAAACAGTTTTAGCAACGGATTGCGTCGATTCTCATCGTTTTTGCGCAATCTGAACGGATCGCTCACGCCTCCACGAGCCGCGTCTAGACGATCCCAGTCACAACTGATCAACCAATCACACCCTCAATCCATGTCCACCTTAGATTCACCGAACTATTTCGGAACGGGAGCGCCGATCGACATGACTGGGCAGAGCAATGCAGCTATGGGTCGTGTCACGTGCTTCCCATTCACACCAACTCATACCGGTTTTCCTAGAGCCAAATCAGGTGAGTAATCCTACTCGAGTATTTTTAGCATTTGATATCAAGGATCAGATCCGTTGATATAGCAACGAACGGAACTGTGCTCAGTTCTCTACTTTCTTCAAGAACCCCTTAATCAATAGTAGACCAAATAAGATAAGGGGTTCTTGAAGAAAGTAGAGAACTGAGAAAAACACAAATGTAATGATTATGTAAACAGAAGCTTTCCTACCGAGGCTGTTTGGTTGAAATGTTCGCTCAGTGGAAAGATAAGGTATAAAACTTGTATTTGTGGGAATATTTGTATCCGATGAAGTAGATCGTACATCCAATCTACTTGGAGTCTCTGATTTAACACAAATCATTGCATACAGCTTTGTAGGCTCTTTTGAATCCCTCCTCAAATCTCAATTTTTGTGGTACTGTGTGTAGGCTTTTGATTACTTATCAACTGATATACTGTGACAGATTTCTCGCTTTTTCACGTTATCGTAAACATTTGTAAAAGCACGATCGATATTGATTATTTCTCAGCAGTTTTGTTCTAAAACCCTTGGTTACTTCACATTTAACTCAGCCTGCACATACATATCAGCTTTTGTTAATTTTTATACCTCCTCGTATAGAATTGTAATACATTTCAACCGTTCGATCGTTCCATACGAAAAGTTGTCACTTTGCTCCTCACAGTCTGACGCATGGATGGTGGTGATTGCTAAAACCCGGTCCCGATCGCGATACGAATGTTCAGTGCATCTGTAACTCAACACAGGAAATCAGGAGACATCAAACAGTGTGCCAATCATAACTGAGTTCACGATTTCATGAATTTGAAGTGAGACTTCATCGATCGATTGATGGTTGTTTAAAACTGAAACCGAAATATAGTTCTCGGGCAAATAGCCTGGATAGGTATTTGGTCCATATTTGTCATGGCCAACTGCATTAGGTGGTGTAAAGATCACTTGGAACGGATAGATGAATGTGTGAGTTACAATGCATGTTTGGCCGATGTGAGAAGGCTGAGGATGATGAAAATGAAAAATGTGAGATCTGGCATGTGAATTTTAGTGATATATCATCGTGTCCGATAGGAACAAAAGATTGAAAATATTATGGGAGAAATTTTTGTTTTACTTCTACCGAAATATTGTATTATTTGGAGTTTTAAACCTTGTGATCTTGGCTTTCGACTTTCCCATTATTTCTATTCCTCCAACCGCGACGGTGTATACTGAAGTGTACCAAGGTTAGGGATACAACGTAATCATCTAACAACAAATGTGCCTTAACTTTCTCTCTATTTCCTAGTATCGATTCGACTTGGTTTGATTTTATCTGGTCAGAGCTCAATACCCTAGTTCAGATAGCTGTTGCGCGTATTCCTCACCTAATGACTAAATGCCTAGACAGTGTAACAGCCGAGGAACGCTGCATACTATACAACAAACAGGGCTGAAGTAGACTGAGATTTCTAACTGGACCTCGGGTTCTTCGTTCATAGGCTATCTGTGAATTTCAGATTCAATCCCCAAATACACATCACAGCACAAAAACTCGAAGTATGATCGGCGTTTTCTAACCGTTACAATCTTGTAGGCGACTGGAAATAGAAACAGTGACAGAGTAAGCCTCGTCTGATAACTAACTGCATTCAAGTAGTTTGCCGACTTGCCATGAATTGCCACACGCCCTCAGAATTATTGGATGGAAATATATGGTAGTCCTTGTACAAAAAAATGGAGAAACAAGAAAAGTCAAGGGCAGATTGTCAAATAATCTCATAATTCTGATGAACAATGTTCCATCAGTCAATTCTACACTACATGGTTTACGAGTAGAAGAGTGAATCCCAATTTTTCCAGAAACTTCAATGCAATTTCGAAATGATCGGGAAACGTAACACTCATGCATATTCACTTCAAATAGACCCTACATTTAGAAAAAAAGTGTGATAGTCTTCTATCTGGTGGGAGAGCTCCCACCATTCAGTAGATGGATGCTGGATGTTATATGCGGTTCTGACAATCGCATAATATCGCTATGATATTCACTTGGTCACTTCGTCATAGGGTTGTTCGATACGGCTGCTAGTTAATGTTAAACCCGTACGAATAGCTAGACGTTGAATGATACACAACCTTAAAAACAAACTCCGAATGTTCTCGAGGTTTATTCGACTCCAAACAATAGAGAATAATAGTGCGGTACTGTAAATATGGAACGTTACAAAATTGCAAAACCAACACACTTTAAATGGTGCAATATGCTTGAACCGACGAAATGAACAATTGAAATTGATGTTTGGCAGATTCAAATCTTATGTTGAAATTGTGAAAAGTTCTCTAGCCTCAGTGGGGGATACTAAACTTTTCACAATCTCGACATAAGAACTTCAATCTGCCAAACATCAATTTGAACAATGAACCTTGCCTTAGAAGTTCGTTCGGTGGACTCCGATGAATTCCAGGGACAACCTGTCGGGGCACAGCTTGCATGCCACCTGGTGGATGCCAAATGCCTCTGCAAGTTGGATAGGTAATTCAAATGTGAAAAGATTCGTGTCACCAGTGTGGCCTCGTAGCTCAGCTGTACAAAAGCGTAGGTAACGTCCCACTGAGGTTACTGAACTTATCACAATTTCAGCAGAAAGGAACAATGCCAATAGAGAACCAAAAATGCAAACGAGGGAATTCAAAATTCCGTCAAGCGAACAGGCGACAAGTGAAATCATGTCACGGTACAGATATGCAAATGGTGAGAACCAATCCAAATACGATTAAGCAACCCGATACGATAATCAGAGGATAGGGTGAGTCACACCATTTCAAGGTCAAGGACAACGGTCACGAAGTACGGGGGGAGGAGGAAGACAATTAAGTTTGGTGGATGAGTAAATGGATGAAATCATTCGTCGCGAACGAGAAGCGCATGTCGGGTGATAGATAATGCGTATGGGTCAAGACGATGGCGTGAGCGGTGGTGTCCAAGTGGTGTTAGGTCACCAACGGGTGACCTGGGAGTCCCGGGTTCAAACCGCCTCACCACCGCCACCCGTCTTCCCTATATCTCTATTTCCCCCCAGGTAGCCTTTAGATAACCGCAGCCCCATTCCTGAAGGTTGACTGTACATTTGTGTATTCAAGAAATAGAAAAAGGAAGTAAAAAGAAATTTATTTATTTAAATGAGAAATTTACCAGATTTGCCAGTGTGCGAGGTGGAAAACAGGTACAACAGTCACTATACCAGTTCAACAGGTCAGTGGCTTTGTTGCTCTTGCGTTTGTTTTCTATTCAACGTCCAAGTGGTTTCTTTGATTCACTCTAATCCAATGAAATGACTTTCAATGTTAAATCACTCTCAATAATGTGATTAAGAATGTTTAACTTTGCTTTGACATCAATTTCTAATGAATTTGGACTAATATTTCTTCTGCTGTCCAGGTATTTACGTGTAGTATCGTAGTATCGTTATTCTTAGTCCATTACATTATGTCACCGACCACAACACGATGCATAAATCCCCTTCGGGTTCGATTGAATCTGAATAAAGTAGATTAAAGAAGCATTATGCATTAGTATGGAAAAATTATAATTCCTCATCGTCGAACAATTCAAAAGCTTCAGTATGATCGGAGGGGGCGGCTTAGGCTGTGGTTGGTCACCCTTACCTTGCACCTCACGAAACACTCCTATACAACCAGGCATCTACAACAGTCTCTGCTGAGGAAGCTCAACTCACTGCCTTCTCTTGGTGAAGGTGTTTTCTCACTAAAATGGGAGAACGAAAAGCTAATATACGGGGCTATAACCGGGTCGGTGAATCACTGGAAGGTCACCTAGGAGAGTTGGCTAAAACACTGATTCCAAACCAGTCAATAAAAGGCGTACGAACCATACCCATCCACACCTTCCTGGTTTTGGCACTGGTCACTGACTCGATTGCGTATCGACGTGTACTGAACACCTTGGACGTTTGACCCCGTCCGAAGGGCGTATGATCCGATGAACTGGACACCGACACCCCATTAACTGCAGTTTTCACACACTACCCCGCTGCTTTGCGGTCCAGGCTTTAATTAGTCGGGGGCTCCGGTTGTAAATTCCACAAGAAAATCCACCTGCCTTGACCTGGGCAACCTGGGCGTATTCTGCCTACGATAAAATCGCGGACCTGTTTTTTTTTTATAAACTTTGTGCTATGATTTGTTTGGCGCACAGTCTATAGATGCAGACGTGCGTAGAACACATAAAATACATGAACAGTCAGTTTGTGTTCTTTGCTTTTCTGCCAATGATGTCACTATTTCCGTCCCCACTGATCTCTATAGTTCTATTTGCTCGGTGTTATTTTCTTTGAATTCCAAATGTATTGAACCGTGACCGAACCGTGCTCTTTTGTAGAATCCGGCAGTGTTCGCCTAGGCCGGGGTCTCGGACTACGCAACCTGTTTAACATCCCGATTACACGAGAAAGTGCGACGTTGTACAATTTGGACGTGGATGACTGTACGGCTGGTGACCCGTTGTCCTCTTCAACTGGAACACCGACGAAGACCAGTGTGATCCATTTGGCCCCATCCACTCCCAAACCAGACGATTGGGCACGTTATTACCCGGATTGTACTGCAGGCTTGTCGGATGCAACACAAACTACACTGCGTGCCCAAGCCCCGATGACGGTGCACTATGCTCCAGCCACATCCACGCAACTGTATCCGTACCTCGCACAAACTGGTACACCAGTGCCGATGATGCAACCAAGTCAAGGTGCTTATAGCCCAACACAACCGCAACAACAACAACCTGACGGCAATCGACTGTCCGGTTTGGACAATCCGCATTGCAACGATCCCTATTTGGAACCAGTCTCACTAAAACGGTTACGAGTTGAAGCTGCGAGTGGAACGGTTAAACCCGCACACTTTTCAGGTACAGTATAAAATATCACGATCCAACTGTTCCTTCGCGGTCGTACTGTGCACGTCATTGTGGCAGGAATAGTACGCGAATAACTCCCTGTGCTCCTTTCCTAATAATAAGCGTAATGAATGCAGGAGTATATCTGTAACCTTGTACGTGCTTCAGTAATCAGATGAACTGAAATGGACAAGTTTAAGCAAATGCAAGCAATCTGGGTTCTGTCACACGTGGACAGCTGAATGGCTAGAATCTGATTAGCTTGAGAACATAGATCCTGGAACACTCTTGCAGTGAAATGTGTGTGTGTGTGTGTGTGTGTGTGTGTGTGTGTGTGTGTGTGTAAACCAGTGAACAACATTATATATACATGCAGTAATGTTTCCAACAATGATAAAACAACAAGGCGAATAAGAACAGTCTGTTTCCCTTGTTTGCCGAGCTTGCGAATTGCTTTGTATACGTTTCATCACCTGCCAAGATGTATCTCTTCAATACATAATTGAGCACAAGCATACGAACAACACAACAACACGGATACCATATAAAAGTGTATTTGGACACGAATGAGGAAATTTAGGAGAAATGGATAGTAGAGAACAAGAACGGCAGGTTATGATCAATGAGTTTGGCTAGTCCATGTTATAATCCGTCCCAGAAATGAATTGTACCGCATTGAATGAATGATTTCTTTATTTGCTTGCCCTAAAATCAATTATCAATCACTTGAACGAGTTTATTGTACTCGAGGAGAAATTTGTGATAGGCGAATTTAACCAGTGAAGGTTGAAATGGCAACCTGGTTGAGTTGACCTAGCCTACTTGCTTTTATTGCTCGCGTACGCGTCGATGGTTAGAATCCGTTGAGTATGAACCGTATGGTGGAACCATATTCAACTTTCTGCTTGTCCGTCAGATTTACGTTCAGAAAAATATTTTCCGGTTGTTCTGTTGATCGGCGTCGCTACTTTATGTGTGAGATCAAATCAAGTCAAGTTAAGCGATTTCCTCACCTCAGTTCGGTTTATTAACCTAACCTATTAGGAGATGTTCGCAAGGTAAAATAAAGCCTCCCTCATCAACTCATAAAGCGTCAGAAGACGATTCGGACACAGGAGACACACGCCGGATATCACTTCTCAGGCTACGCATGATCAATAAACAGTCATGCTAAAAATGGATAAGCTCTGCCGGGGCTTTATGTAATTGATATCACTTAGCTTTTTGCCCATCAGCTTTTTCTGCAATCGTATCATCGCAATTCATGAGGCTTTGATGTACCAAATGTCGCATAGATTACTAAGTTGAGAGTCGTACTAGTCCAGATGGGTATAGTTCTGAGGGAAAAGTACTCGTTTTGCACAACACATTGTCAATTGATATAGTGTCAGAGATCGCATTTTCTCTATTCTGAAAGGTGTCAAAATATGTGTCCTCGACTGATTTGAAACCATCCACCTGAAATCTCGTACGCCATTGGTGCATTTTTTGCTTACCCAACATTGGTTCTGCTGACATTCCCACTTTGAATAGTTGCAGCTTAGCTGTTGCATAAATTAATCAACTTCAGAGTGAATACACGAGAACCGTATAAAATGTAACGGCTTCTTGTTACTTGATCTACTGTTTGTTAAAATAAATCCATAACGCCATACGAAAGGATTTATTTTTTAAAGTACTATCAGAATAATAGTTTGTACCATTCGAATCGCTCGCGCGGATATGAGTTCCGTGTGACACCATTCACTCATGCGTACTAATTACGAGGGACATCCAGTGTGTGTTCAGACACGTACAAGGCAACTGGAAGTTGGAGTGTGTGTGTTCCAATAAGCTAACAGATGACTGTTGAATGAACTTATTTGTGATCACAGTACATTTATTCAGCACAAATTTCCTCGTTTTTGTAATGCGGGGACATGTTTCAACAGATGGCATATTCCGCTTGGAACAACCAGAATGTTGTAGTTTGTATGTTTGCTCGGTGATATACTTCGATTAGGTCAAAACTAGCATTAATGAAAGCGTGGAGTGCTGTTACCTCCCATGAGGATAAACCTCGATCCTTTTTAACCTATTCCAGGTTGGTGGGGATATTTTTAAATGCTTGATCTACTCACATTTGTTTCGAATTGTGAAAAGTTCAGTAGTCTCGGTCAGATTCGAACCCGCGCAGGGATGCTGCCTACACTACTTGCTCAACTAGTAACCCGTGCGCTGTATTGCGTTCTGCATGGCTTTCCAGTGTTGATCTACAATCGTTGGTGTGGTAGTAGTTAACCCTTGTGGTCAATTCATTTTGATGTTCCGCCAATACTGCCGGATCAGAAAGCTTGGCGACAGCAAGTAATACAATACAATATAAATCTGTTTGCATTTTATTTTTTACGGTCACTAAGTTGCATTGAAAACTTGGCACAAATCAGTGCGTGGAAAGAGCCCAAGCAGGTAGATAACTAAGAACAGTAGTCTTTCGCGCACACATACACATCGTCTATAGTTAATAGCTATATGACTAATCTGAGTTCACCTGTATGCCAAGTGGCGAAGTGAAGATTTGGGTGTGCGAAGTTCGTGCTAAAGAGGAGAGAATATATGCCAAGAAGTCTATCGCTATTATTCAAACGACAGCTACTAAGACTGTAACGGGGTACCAAGATTGGTCTCATCGGGCAACAGACGACCAACGCTTAGGTCTCCCATCAAGATCACGATATCCATCTTGGGTACTTTAAGAAGAAGCTCATGTGAGGTGTGATAGGAGGCATCTTTGACTGTATCCGGGCTGCAGTCTGTGGAGGCCAATGCAGAAACCACAAATAAACTACTTTCACCTAATTTCTACTTGTTAAATTTACATGAGCGTCACTGCGCAAGGTCGGCTGTCTACCGAGGTCGAGCCTCATAGGGCAATCTGGGCCCTGGCGCTTAAGGCAATGCCAACGTCTGTTTGATCGGACGTTGTTGCGACAGGGTCTTCGGAAACGAGCAAATGAAAAGCCTTTGTTAGGTTGGAAGGAGATGTCACTTGGATTACTGTACTCAAAGCGCATCTCCGAGAGGCAACACAAACACACACATCGATCTATATACTTTCAAGCGTACAACCCAAGCTTCCTTGTTATCCCATACACATCAAAGTTTTTACTTTGGTCGAAGCCAGTTTGAACGTAGAGTGAGTTCATGGAATGGAACGGTTGGCTGCGAATGACAGGGCATTACCGAGACAGATTTCAAGGAGATTAGCGTCGAGCTACAACATGAATCCACGTCAGTGGAACCATTTGAGATAAGATATAGTGCAAAAAATGGGAATGTTGTTTCAGGGATAAGGGGAAGTTTTGCAAACGGACTTTTAGAAAACAAGAGCTTTGTGTGAGTGTAAAATTCTAAGACGTGTGTGAATGTACAAACCCATGATTGGATTTTGGGTGTGATACTACCCGGTTGCTCACGCTAAAGAACCCGACCCACACACAAGGCAGCGGAGTGGAGTAGATAGTCCACGATCCTCTGGTCACTGGTGAATCGCAGACCAGTTCATACACCTTTCGAATGTGGCCACCTATCAAGGGTACCCAGATCGGCCTTCAGCCCCACACTTTCCGGTGAGCGTCATTGTGGTTAACTCCAATGGTGGCTTTTGGAAACCTGTTTGCATTAGGCCGAGGACTGGTGCCACTATGTGTTTCTTACCCCAAGTGTAGGTGGTTAGGCATCCGCGTTTTAGCCAACCAAAAATGGTCAGCCAACCCAGTGGAATATGCCGGGCATTCGCCTTTACTCTTCTACCATTTAAGTGTTTACACTCAAAGATAAGGAGGTCAATCCAAGTGACCAGACTTATCGTTGTGACTTTGCACCACATATCATCTCTTCAAGTATACAGCTTCCTTCGACCCTGATCGATATGAACCACAATGCGCGTGCTGCGAGCTTCAATTGCAAATCCGATTATCAACTCCCTAATGCGATGATTTCTTGCATTTTCCCTTGAAAACTTGACAAAAGTATGCTAGACCTACAACGCATGCAAATTATATATCATTTTGAACGATCGAACGCCCGGATTATTCCGTAGAAATACTTAAAATTGACCGTCATGCATTTTTGAATTATCACTTCTGTTACTGAAAAACTGTTCGACTTCTACAAAAAATATATTGCCAGCCTTATAGCAGCAAATCAGTATCATAGCGCTTCCCCCCCCCCCAATAGCGAACATTGTTCGGACAGAGACAGGATGTGTTCATTTTGTGGGGAGTTGCTCTTGGGAGGGACGTCACAAAAAATACCACAAAACATGTTTAACATGCAAAGTTAGGCTGTCAGTAACCACCTGTCTCCCGAATAGTGTTGGAGGTTATTAATATGGCCATTGTGTTTGAAGCAAGGCACAAAACAATTCTCGCTTTATCAAGAGAGATATCGTTACCGAATTCCAGCCGCGACGCTATGCACAGTATTTTTCCGGGCCCGTAACCCAACACGCGAAATCCGAACATACAAGAGAGCGTACTGATCGGAACCGGGTTAACGATTTAATGATCTCGAGAATATATCGATTGAATAAATGATGGCCTTAAACTAGGTCAAGTTGGCTCACGGACAAGACGGGTCGGAAAGGTACTAGTCAGTGTCTGACGTGAACACCTCTGTCACGTGATTGTGCTAGCAATGGGAACTGATAGACGAATGCGTACGTTACCTTTTCGCACCTTGCAGTCCAAGCCTAGCATCCCTCTCGCTTAATCTAGTGAAGGCACAAATTTCATGCCCATTTGGGTGTGCTATTTTTGCAGGACCAACCTATAGCAAAGTTTTGCCGGTTGAATTGGGCACCACCGCATCAACAAATGCTGGCACCAACCAGCTATTTCGTCTTCCTCATGTGCCTGAATCTAACACCTAGTTGCCGTTAGCGTTATCGTTCTCACATGGTTTCTCGTCTGACAAAGAAATGACGAAGGGCTGTTAGACTAAAGCTCTTAGATATGCGTTCAATTTTATTCTCATAGCATCGAGACGTAGCATCAGCAGTTAGTGTTTGCTGATCAAGCTGTCCAGGTGGTCCACTCGCATCCGACGTTGGATCGGTTCCACAGAAATAGCACCATTTTTTGAGGGGCATTAGGATATAGCCCGATCAGTGACATCTTGCATCTTCAAATTCTTTCCATCATGATTCATCGGCATTGATGAGTCACATTACCGTGGTGTAAAAGTTGTGGTGGATTTGTTAGATAACAAAGTTCCAAACTTTATTAACTAAGAAGTTAAACGTTCAGAGTGGATTTGTGATAGCAACCAACACCAACACCACGGGTGTTAATGTTTATAGGAACCAACTGACCACCCACAGCAATTCACATAACATCTGCGGAATTCCTGAATTTCCATTGTTTGCCACATCTGGATGGCCTTCAGTCGTTATGCTTACCTAAGTGAGGCGTTTAAAACCGGTCAGAACAGGAGGATCTATCAGTTAGTTGTCTCTGGCACAGGACCACCTAGCCTTTCATATCGATATGCAGGTGTATTACTAGAAAACCGTGTTCGTTCAAATCTGGCTTTTGCTCTTGAGGAGTTTCGACGATAAAATAAGATTACGTTCCCTCGAATGAGGCTACCACTCTTTGGGATTAGGCTGTAGGGAAGGAACACTGCATTGAAAAATATTCGCTGTGCTAGAAGAAATATTTAGTCCCATCGATCCAAAAAGCTCACTCTTCTCTCGAAGTTCAGTGTTACATGACAGAATGTTCATCTTTTTGCTCTAGACGATTCTAGTACTGTTCTTCTTGTATCATCTCTCTGGGATGTATACCACATCATATCGAATCAGCAATGTGTTATTGCTATTCATGACAAGTTGTCAAAGCATACATTTTGGCCCACACTTTGAACTATGCAATAAATCATCCTAAACGAAAATTTGTGGTAAGGAACGTTTATCAGAACTGATGGGAAGAATTGACGGGAAATCCACCTATTCACAGTCATTATCTTCATTGATGAACTTGATAAGTCAGTTATCGGTTTAATTCTCTGCTCTCTTGTTCCGCTCACCCACTCTCCATCCCCTTAACCCTAACACCTCCAGATTCCGATCATCAACCGAGTGCAACTAGTTCTGCTATCAGTTCGCTGGTATTTGCCGACTCGGTAGTGGATGATGAATTAGACCCGGACAGCTACTCGACAACTCAACGCACCATTCCCAGCGCCCCAACTCCACCAGTAGCTCCACCATTACCACCACCAATCACGAGTCGACCGTTGACAAATAATCCCGGCCCTGGCAACTCGCGCGGATTCGATTATGTCACTTATGACTTAACTCGTTCAGGGACGGCTGGGACGAACACGTTGACTAATGCGTCTCCGTCCACGGCAAATCTAAAGTCATTGGGAATGGGAGGAGAACTGCTGGCCACCCAGTTGAACGTCAATGGAGCGAACGAAGATCTCGGACCGCTTCGAAGACCAAAACGAAATCCAGAACAAGCAGGAGGTAAGCACTGGGACATCATTTTGAAATACTGATGTGAAACGTTTGGAATCTATCAACTGACTGATCACCAGGCTGAAAACGATGTCCTTGTGGCTGCCGAATTGTCGAAATTTCGATAACTAATGTTATTTGTCAGTTAGGAACTGAATAATACTCGCAGCTGTGATGTCATGGATGATCTGGAAAGAAAGCTGAGATATAGTGTATAAAACAGGATTTATGTTTGCTAATTTCTTGACATCTGAGAAATCTTCATTCTGTGATTACCACCTGTTTTGACCAGTCTTAATTTAGTTGTGGACACATGAGTTTATGAAGTTATTCATTCAGCAGATTAATTCACTTGCGGTGATCATCGTAACAAAAGCAAGATTATGTAGTGTGTGCATTTCCTTTCTGACCACCTAGCTGTTGTCCTCAAAGCAAGAGATCAACCTTCCGTTGGAATTGATTAAACATGGACCGCTGCATATGAACGGCTGCTGCAGTTTGTTTGAGGATTCCGTAACTAATATATATATATATATATATATAGTCCTGGTCTAGATCGAAACGTCACAATAAATACTAACACTCAGTGCTCGCCTTCTCCTTTTAAAAAATATATATTTATGTGACAACTTTATCCAGGGATTTAGTCCTGCACAGATTGGGGTGAGACTCTAGGTTGGTCACCTCAAAGTCAGCCAAATTGATCATGCGAGGTACTGAAGGATGTGGCGGAGTGTGGAAAGCGATAGAGCTCGCCTGTGTGCGTAATATCTACTCACATCTACTTTATTGTCATTATTCATCTTCATCCAAGTAGGGCTCCCAGTCTTACATTTTACACTCTGCATCTTTTTCCATTGCTCAGCCAAGTAGTACCCGAAATACAGTGACTGGAACCAGTACAAAGAAATACAAACTGAAAAAGTAAGGTGATCATTAAATCAAAGGTGGTGCATTTACTCAATTAATCTGTAATCTGATTTCATCTGAATCGTTCACACTACTCCTAGATTTTCAGCTCTTCCCTCTACTAGTTCAGTCAAATTGACTACCAAATGACAGTAACCAAAACGGTCTCACAAAGTTGCGAGGATTATTGTCGTATAAAAGGAAACTGAATTGCAGCTTGTAGCATTGAAACTGTCACCGAAACCTCTTTCATTTCTGTATCCAACCAACGTGATCATTGTACTCTCAGTCTGTATTTCAAATCTTATCTTATTTGTTCCACATTTTCCGCAATTTTATTAAGCCTCGAATTTTCCCCTTTCTCATCTCAGTCTCCTCATATTGCATCGCTTGAGTCCAGGCAAATTTCATACCTTTTCCACGCAAAACATCTGATCGTCCTTACTCCACTTCTCCCACTCAACAACACCCAGCTTCACACCTCTGTTAAGTAATTATTTCACCCATCGATCACAGTTTACCAAATATAAGGGTCATAACTCTTCACTTTTACCCTCCACTCAACGAGTTCTTCAAGGCGCTATTCTCTCTCCCTTCTCGTTCACAACTTATATTTCTTCAATGCCTGCTTTTGATGATTGTCTGCTCATTAAGTATGCCAATGATGTACATGGCATGATGTTTTCGAACTCCTCCGTGTACCCCAAACTTATGCAGAATATTTCACTGCTCACCGACTGGTCTTCACAACACAATCTTAGAATGAATCCTTCCAAGTGTAATGATGTTTTATTTTCTTTACTGAAGGGTGATCAATATATTGACGTGATGAACTCTAGTCAGCATGTCATTATCAATGTTGAAGAAGTTTCCAGAGCATGCTCCGTCAAATATCTTGGGGTCACCATTTCCCGCAATCTTTCTTGGTCTCCTCATGTCGTCGAAACATTTCACAAAGTCAGAAAACNGAAAACTCACCTTTTACATTATTCGTTTGAAGATGCTATCTATCCCAACTCACTTAATGAAGCATTTTGTTTTCTCTTGTATCCTTCCCCACTGGCTTTATGCATGTTATTTTTTCGGGTCTTTTAATCAAAGACTTCAAACTCATACGCACATCCATCAAACACGTATGTCGATACAGCGGCATATCCCTTGAGTATGTTGTGCAGTTTATTATTTCACAGCACCTTAGGGCTTGCCAGAAACTTTCTACCAGAATACTACTTGACCCATCTCACCCACTGTACCCTCATCTTAGTCAATGTATCTCCACATCTAGCACTCGTTCCATGTATAAACATATAGCAGCACGCACCACTACATACAAGTCTTCTATAATACC